CCATGGATCGAAGAACTTGAATAACTTTCAAGCACCTCGCTCTGATGCCAATTGTTAGAAAAAGAGGCTGAGATCAAGAGGGGGGGTGAATTGATCTTTAAAAGTTTTTCGCAAATAACAGATTATCTAATTCAAAAATTAAGATTCCAGATCTGTTCTTGAATTACAAAGCAATCAATCAATATAAATGCAGCGACAGAATTAAAATAGAGAAAGGTTAAGAAAGATATCACTGGTGTTTTATACTGGTTCACCCAATACCAGGGCTACGTCCAGTCTCCAGCCAAATTCCAACTGGGTTCCACTAGATCAAATGTTTTACAGATTTACAATCTTACACTTAATCTACCACAAGAACCAAATTTCAGTTCCTGCACTCAACCTCTCACCAAGAACCAAATTCTAGTTCTTGATAACCTCTACAACCAAATTCCAGCTGCAAAGAAACCAGTGCCCAAATTCCAGGCACCAAACAATACAAAAAAATGTAAAGAAATGAAAAAGAAGAAACTAGAATGCTCAAACCAGTTTATGCAATTCTGCTGTAAGTGTTTCTTCTTCAAAAGAAATCAAGTTGCCTCAAGAAAGATTTTCAAAGAACTTCTCAAAAACTGATGCGAATCTTTCTTGAAAAGAGTGCTAAAGTTTGCTTGATTGATTGCTCAAGGATGTGTAAAAACTGATGTTCAATGTATGTTTAAAAAGTTCAAGCAACTTTGTTTTTATAGAAGATTTTCAAAACTGTTGGTTTAATTAATCTGTTAAAAGATTCTTTTAATCTATTAAAAGTGCAGTTTTAATCTGTTAAAACTTCTTTTAATCCATTAATACGTTCTTGATTCTTTAACAGATTTGTTTTAACTGATACGACAATGTTTGTATCAATTAAAACACATTACAAAAAATCTTCTAAGTTGATTTAATCGATTGTTTCGCGATTCAATCGATTGAAATACTGCAAAAATTTCTTGTAAAAACCTTTCAAGTTATTTTAACTGATAAAAATAAGTTTTAATCGATTAAAACGCTGTGTAGAAATTTTCTAAGTTGTTTTAATCGATTGAAACGAGATTTAATCGATTACAAAAGTTCTGATCGGTCATAACTAAATTCTGATCGATCATAACTGATTTTGATCGGTCATAATTCAATTCTGATCGATCATATCTGATTCTGATCGGTCATAATTGTATTCTGATCGATCATCCTGAATTCCAAGTGGTTTTAACCGATTAAACTCAAGTTGTATCGATTAAAATACTGTAAAAACACTTCTCTGAACATTCTAAGTAATTTTAATCGGTTCTATCAAAGTTGTATCAGTTAAAAACTTGTTTAAGAAAGCTTTTGTCAAAATACTTTGTTTTTAATTGTTAAAAACATTTTTAGAGGCATTTTGCAAAATCTTTTAAGTGAAGAAACCTCATGCAGCAGAAAAGATAAAATGATTATACCTAAGCATAGCTGAAGACACACTAACTTTTCTACTCTTCTATCTTAGTGACTTTTGTCCACTGCAAAGTTGCTTTTGACTTCATCTTTGACTTCATCAAATCAATGAGATCTTTGCCAAAGTATTTCAATGAGATCTTCATCACTTTCACTTGTATCCTAACTTCCTTAATCTCCATATTTTGTGAAACGTCACTCTCACTAGTTTCACCATTCTCAATGAATCGATCATTTTCAGTTTCAACAATTCTTGTAGTATGGATAGGACAGTAAAACATATACCTTTTGATTTTTTTGAATAACCAATGAAATATCCATTGATTGTTCTTGCATCTTGTAAATTATACACTCTTACTTCTGCTTGACAACCTCAAACATGCAGGTGTCTCAAACTGGGTTTCCTACTTGTCCATAACTCAAAAGGAGTATTTTGAACATTTTTAGTAGGAACCCTGTTTAACAAATACATGAGTCTTCAAAGCATACATCCACAACGATACAAGTAAACTTGAATTACTTAACATTATCCTAACTATATCCATTAAGGTTCGATTATGACACACCATTTTGTTGTGGTGTGCCTGACATTGTGTATTAAGCATAAATACCATGTTTCTCAAGGAACTTAGCAAACAAATCAAGGTGTTGTCCACTTTCATCATATCTTTCATAATACTCACCACCTCTATCTGACCTGACAATTTTCACTTTTCTATCTAATTATCTCTCCACTTCATTCATATAAACTTTTAAAGCATTCATTGTTTGAGATTTCTTATGCAGTAAATAAACATGTCCATAAGGAGATAAATCATCAATAAAGGTGATGAATACTTCTCTTTATTTAAAGAATTCACATAAAATGAACCATATATATTGGTGTGTATGATTTGAAGAAGTTGAGTGCTTCTTGTGACTTATTTCTTTGTGTGTTTTGTTTGTTTGACTTTAATACGATCCACACACACATTGAGATCAGTAAAATCTAAATCTGGAAGGATTTCATTCGTCATTAATCTTTGCATTCTTTCTTTGGAAATGTATCCCAAACATTTATGCCATAAGTAAGCAAATCGTTCATCCACTAAACTACGTTTAGTACCAACATTGTGATGCAAGGTTATAAGAGTTTCAATATATAAATTATCCAAATTCAATTTGTATAAATCATCATAAAGTGTACCAGATCCAATCATACAATTACGCTTAAACAAACTAAAACAATTATTCTCAACTTAAAAGATTATCCAACAACGTCAAGCTTAGACAAAGAAACTACATTCCTAGTGATACAAGGTACATAAAAAGTATCTATCAAGTCTAAGTGAAATATAGTGCCAAGGATCAAATAATAAATCCCAACAACTTCCACTGGAACCTTCACTCTATGGTTCGGGTTGAAAGAAATGTCTGCATCACATTAGAAATATGAGTCATATATCCAGAATCAATCCACCAATTACTATGGGAAACTTTAGTTAATTTTGATTCAAAATATATGTAAGTATTATGCTCATCTTTCTTTTCAAACCAAGTTTTACTCTTTAGGGAATCCTTTTAGAAATGTCCAAACTTCATGCATAAATGACATTTGTCATTTTTCTTTTGGATTTTAGTAGAGTACTCAACAATCTTTAATGGTCCTTTATCCTTTCCATGTTTCTTAACAACTTTCTTTTCAACTTCTTGATTTCTCACATAATGAATAGAGTGACTTCTTAAGTTCTTGAGTCTGGTCTCCTCCTGAACTAACACATTGTGTAGTTCATATATGTTCCATTTGTCTTTCATGGTATTATAGTTCATCTAGAATAGACCATACTCAGAAGGTGACGAGTTCAAAATGAACTATATAGAAAATTTGTCATCCACTACCATTCTAAGAGACTTGAATCTTGTTGTAATATTCGTCATCTCGATTACATGTTCGTGCATAGTACGAGAATCATCAAACTTCATGGTGGTCAATGTACTCATTAATGTCCCAAAAAGGGACTTGTCAACAGTTTGAGAGTGCTCTTCCACAAATTTCATGAATTCTTTCGCATTCTCAGTTTTTAGAAGAGCCTACTTAATGTTACTTTGTATGCTCATTCGCATAAACATCATACTAAGTCTGTTTGATTATTCTCAATCCGTATAATGAACTTTCTTTTCATTGTTACTAACACTAGTGATAGCAACCGACTTTTCAACTTGAAAAGTCAAATCAAGATCCAATACACTTAAGTGAAATTGTACTTGTTCACTCCAGTAAAGGAAATATAACCCATTGAAAACTAGAACAAACGTATTAATTGAATGTAAAGATACATGAACAAATACTACAATTAACACATACCTAATATTAATGCTTTGCATCATAAATTTAAATATAAAATAAATTCAAACTCAAATAAACAAGTTATTCATACTAATGTTATCCTTTGGGAGATACACTAATATACAAACATAACGATGCTAATCATATTATAACATTAATGATAATTAAAATATGCATTAACTAGAATCACCTAATTGGGTATATTAGTTTTCATTAGTTTTCTATATTAGTTTTATTTTATCCTTAACAATTTATATTTTCTGCAATTTACTATTTTCACTAATTACATTTCTTGTCATTTATATTTCCAACAATTTACCTTTCCTTATAATTTACTTTTCTCCACTTTCATAAATATCTTTATTAAATTAATGTGTGAAAAATCTATAATAAATATTGACTTTATATTAATTGTTGAATAAAATGTTGGTTCACATGCTTATTTTTCCAAAGTTTAATTGAAACACATTTTAAAGTGACATTTTTTTACTTACTAGTCTAAATAAAAATAATCCACAAACATGATTCTTAATTAGGAAAAAAAACTTAATAAATTTGTTGAATGTATTGAACCAATTTTTACCAGAAACAAGTTGTCATCGTATGAGAAAACAAACATGACTAACAAAGCTAGAAGCATCATAATTGGTAATAAGGCACCAAGTGAAGTCACGATACTTAGCAATAAGGCACCAAGTGAAACTAGGATTGAGAGAACTATCACAACAATGCATAGTAAACTTAAGTCTTAATAAATGACAAAATCTCTAGCACAAACACTGTTTGGATCAACAATTGTACTCATTCAAGATGATAAATCAAGAATGATGGTGGAGCAAACAAACTTTACAAGTCAGTGGATGATCTTGAGAATTTTGAATCGAAACTTGATGATAAAGATAAATCTTTGCTTCTTCTTAATGCTTTGCCTATAATGTTTGAACTTTTAAAGGATGTTTCATTTTATGAAAAGAATAAACTATTACCTTGGAGGAGGTCCAAACCTCTATTAGAATGAAGACGTTTCAAAATCTTTTAAGAGTCTAAGAGATATGATAAAAGGGGTTGAGTGGAGTGTTGGAAGTGCAAGATTAAGAAGGAAACAAGGAGGAAGAAATTCAAGAAGTCATCCAAGAAGGCATAAGAGTAAAAAGAGCCTAAGTGATATATCTATTGTAGATTAGAGGTTATATAAAAAAAATTGTCCAAAAGTAAAGAACTTCACAATTTTCATGCGAGTCTATAGATTTAATAGTTTTTTATAGTTATGAATCTATAGGTGTGCTCGTGGTGTCGATTTTAGTTAAAAAAGAAGATGAGTCATGTACTCAAGTTATACTTATAACATGTGTCTCATGACTAAAAAGTAAAACTAAAACTAAAACTTTCTAGAGGTTCAAAAGTAGTGCATCATGGTCAGAAATCAATAGGTAACCAAATTCAAAGCTCATAGGATTAATAATATTTGAAATTTTTCTTAGATCATTTTAGTGAGTTTGTAGGAAGGAAGGGATTAAGATGCACAAGATAATTGTAGGATTCCTCGACAAAATGATCTTATTGAAAGGATGAAGAAGACCATTTTGGAACAAGTGAGGGGTATGTTGCTAGAACTTGGTTTTCCAACCTATTGAGTGAAGTTACTTATATTATAATATATCTAATAAATGGATGTGAATAATTTTCCCTACATTTGAAGACTTATGTGGAAGTGTGGAGTGGAAGACCAATAAATTATTCTAATATGAGGGTGTTTTGTGCCTTGGATTTGCACATGTAAAAATTGATAAGTTTGAAGAACATACAGATAAGTGTATCTTCATTAGATATATTGAAGAACAAAGGTGTTTCATAAGTAAGGGTGTGACATTCAATGTTACATGAATGAGATGTTGTGCAAAAATCTAACTTGAAATAAGGTTCCTCATATTAGACTATCAATAGGAATTAAATGATGCATAAGATGATGAATATCATGTATCAACTTTCAACTTCTCACTCTAGGAGGCTAGAACGTGTGAACTTAAACTTCAACTATCTTCTTACGTTACACGTGATAAGTAGATGAAAAATATCAAACCTACAATAAGGTTTGGGTATGTTGTTCTTATATGTTATGCCTTTAGTGTATTTGTAGAGGTAGGCGGTTCAAGATAAAGAAGCTTCAAGGAGACTTATTGGGGGTATATACAGTTAGTAATGGTTGTGTGCATGGAGGAAAGACTTGAATCATTGCAGAAAAATCACACAAGGCCACTTGTGGACTTACCCAAAAATTAGAAAGTGGTTGGATTCAAGTGGATATTCAAGAAAAAGGAAGGAATACTAGGTGAGAAAAGGAAAAATCTAATGCAAGACTAGTGGTGAAAAGCTTGCATAAGTGGAAAAAAATTGATTATAATGAGATTTTGAGAAATAATTGAAGGTCTACAAAGTAACTATCAGGTAGAGAAGAAGGATCATCCCCTACATTTATGGTAGAACAATGTTAATTCACATGCTAAAGAAGTTCACAAAGGGAAGAGACTTAATAAGGCCTAGTATGAATAGATTTGCCAACTTATTTGACTCTAGGTTGTCTTCTTGAATTGAAAGTATAATTGATGAGTATGGTTAGCTCTAAAGAGTGAAAAAAAAAAGTTTAGATTTTTACAAGATGGGAGAAAAGATGAGAATATGGTATTAGATAGATACTTTTGGAACAATGTAACTAAATAATTGAAAGTTGTTGTCCTTCTTTCTGTGGTCCTTTGATTGGTGGATTCATATACAAAAATCGCAATGAGTTTCATATATAAAGAAATAGATTGTGCAAAAGAGAAAATTAAGTGCAACTTTAATAATATTAAGAAAAGGTAAAAATCCTAAACCTTATCTCATTTAGAATTTAACTACTTAATCTGTTATAAACTTCTAATATAGAACAATTGATATTTTTATAGTTGTGAACTTGTTTGAAAAATCATTAATGAGAGGTGGAATAATCAACTTCAAAGGCATTTGCATGCAACAACCTATTACCTTAATCTCTATTTGCACTATGAGCTTAATTTTAGAAATGATGATTCAGAAGTGAATGGGGGTTGCATATATGCATGGGAAGATTGATTATTGATGTTATAGAAAGGAAAAAAAAAATCAATTTACAATCCATTGACTTCCATTGTACAAATGATTTTTTTTAAGGAAGATGTAAAGGATTGTAGGAAAGCTATATTTTCTAGAGAATTGTGAGAGATGTCTGGGAATGGAACTCTAGAGTTGAAAAAGTTTGTTATTCAAGTTTTGAGTTTGACTTGTAGTTCTTTTGAGTGTGAATGTAATTGAAACTTATTTGAAATGATATTTCAAGTTTATGTAATTATTTGTGATTTTTAATTATTTTATTTTAGTTTATATATTTATTAAAATTGATTCTTCAATTATAGGTTCATATAAAAAAAAAGAAATTGTTTGCACTAGAAAAAGATGAATGATTTAGTTTATGTAATATATAACCTGAAGTTCAAAAATTAAGAAATTTGTTGTTCTCTCATTTGATGATCTTGAGTGTGATGATGAATAAATAATTAAAGAGAGAGAGATAATAGGTTTGAACAAATTCAAGTGGAAGGTGATGACGAAAATACTAATTTAGTTAGATGAGGTTTATATTATTCAATTTTAGATGCACTTGAGCTTGATAATATAATTTTTGATTCAATGTTGATTCACACTTTTTCATATGGGGAAGAACTTGATGGTGATGAATATAAAGAGAAAAATGATTTCATTAGAGGATTAGATAAGACATATAAACTTGATCACATTATATTTTTTTGTTATTATCTTATCACTTTGATAACCGATATTTTATTGATATATTATTATATGAATTTATTTATTTTAGTATTAAATTGGTCTCTAGAAGTTGATTTTATGAATTAAGTGTACAAATTTTTCATGAGTTTGTATAGATTTTTTTGAGTTTATTAAACTTAAGTACAAGATAAGTATTCATTAGAGTTGGATGTAAAATTTATTAGGGTGGGTGCAAGATTACCATTTTATGTTATAATAGAGAAGGGATGATCATATTTTAGATGGTCTTGTACAATAATAAACTTAACACATCTATTAGTAGGACCGTTTAGATTAAACTATCTTAAATAAAGTCAATTTTTTCTATTATACTAAGTTTATAATCTTATTGATATTTCATATAATTTTTTTTTCATATAATTTTTTTTGGTATTTTTGTAGTAATATTTTTCTTGTGTAATACAAGAGTGATTTTCTTTTTATTTTCGTTTTAATTTTTATTTTCTTTTGTGTTGTGTATCAATCAGAGAAGTTGAAATTGAAAGCCACTTGGAACATTGGAGGAACGTACTGGCTGAGGCCATGAAACACTCAAAAGTTGTTTTTCTTTAATTCCAGGTAACAGAAACTTCAGTAACTCTCTAGAGTATTTGATTGGACTTAGATATGACTTTGAGTAGTAACAAAAAAATAAAAAATGAAATTATTAAATAAAAAAATATAAAGTAAAAAAATAGAAGAAAATATTTTAATTAATAAAATTAATTTGATTCAATATAAAAAATAATAAATTAAACTAATATATAATAAAATATCTTTGATATAAATTTAATAAAAATAAAAATTTAATTTAATATAAAATAATTATTTAATAAAATAAATAAAAATAGATAGATAAAACTAATTTATATATAAATTAAAATTAACTTGGTAATTATAGATATATAATAATTTATAAACATTGTTAAATTATAATAATTATTTTTAAAAAATTATAATTTTTTATGTATATTTTATAATAAATTAAAAGTATATTTTAATTGAAAAATATCATTAAAGAATTATGATAAAATAAAATATAAATTGTTAAACATATTACTTTTTTAATAATTTTTATTAAATCATGTTGTTGATATAACATATTTTCTTCAAATAATAAAATTGATAAGAGATTTACGTGTGTCAAAATTATATATAAAAATTAATTTTTATACTTTAATTTAATGATAAATTAATTTTAACTTAAAAATATTTTTGTATAAAAAATTATTTAAATAAACTTAATATAAAATTAGTAAAAATATTTTTTAATTTTGTAATATATAAAAGAAAAAAAGAAGAAATATTTATATATATATATATATAATTTATTAATAAATTTATGTAAAAATAGATTCGTAATGTCACCTTTCATCAAATTATGAAAATCAGAACATTCATAATAAAAGTATGAAGATAAAAATAATCAATTTATAAAATTATATAATGAGTAAAATTATTCGTGTTATACTTGGTTTTGCAACCTCTTTTTTACAAATTAAAAGATAATTTTTATTGTGAAAATCACCTTATTATTTTCTGTAAATCGGTTCAGTCAATAGAACCAGCCACTCAGAGTCTCTGCATCAAAAGTAGAACCAAGCACACTGATTTCTACGTCAACAGTGAAACGACTGAAAACAAATACAGGCTAAATAGTTTTCGTTTTTTTCACTACTCTCCTTAATTGAAATTTGTTTAGAATCACAGACTTTTTTAACACTTAATTCTTATTTAATGAACCTTTATCATGATTTAGAAATTAAATCTATCTAAATTTGCAAGTTTTAGGTTAGAAAGAGGGTTAAAGAAATTGTGCTTGATGTGTTATCAAAGGAAACTGTAAGACCTTCATTTATTATTTTAGTATTTAAAATGTCTAAAGCTAATGGAAACTGACGTATACATTTATTCCTTCCTTGCTCATTAACCCTTATTTTTACAATTGATTGTCACAGATTTTGAAAATTAGTTTGGTTATAAACTGTTTTTTTCTCTTAAGCTCCTGGAATAAATGAAGGTTTTTTTTTTTTTACCCAGGTTTTAACTACCATATATCTTTAGCTATGCATATTTCACTGTTCATTTTCTTTGATAGGGAAAAAATTTATTGAGGGATTGACTTTGAAGTTACCAAGAAGTAATGCAAAATCTCTAAGCACTAAAGCTTTTATGAACATGAAGAAACTCAGTTTGCTTCAACTTTCTGGTGTAGAACTTGTTGGAGATTTTGAATATTTTTCCAAAGATCTTAGATGGCTTTGTTGGCATGGATTTCCTTTTGCCTTCATACCACCAAGCTTTTATCAAGGAAGTCTAGTTTCTATGGAGTTAGAAAACAGTAAGATTACAATGGTGTGGAAAGAGACCCAGGTATTAATTTAGTTTTTTGAATTTCACGCGTTGTTTTTTCTCTTCTTTATGGATGCAATTTAAATTGTCTCAAATGTTATATACTAGTTTTCTACATGGTGCATTTAGACCAAAATTTCATCAATGAATTTTTCGGTCTTTCTTATATCACAAGTGCTTTCAACAAAAAGTTGAAGTTGAAATAAAATGAACTTTTACATATTCATGCTTCTAATGCAAGCTCTAATATCCCGTTTATATAAAACAAGTAATCTTAAAATAGGAAATATATAAATAATTTAAAGATGATAAATATCCAGATAAAAAGAGATATATTTTCATATTCTAAAATATTTACTATATTCACACAAATCTATTTGTCGGAATTATCTTGGTGAACACAAGTGTTGATTGAAGTCTTGTAGGAGTAATTACAAGACCTCTGTCAATTTATGAATTATTTTGCTAATATCTATGTGTTTTGTTTTGTTTTGTCATGTTGGATTGGATCGGATAGAAAACGTTAAAATAACTAAATTGTTATGATAAAAAATCTTATAGATCCACAAGGTCATCAAGAAAAATCTTCATCCATAACTCCTCATCACATATATTAGGTGCCATAGCTTGAAATTATATATTTTTTACACTAAATCGAGCAACTATATTATGTTTGTTGCTCTTCTATTTTACTAAGTTTCATCTCACATACATGTAGTAGTCAAAGGTGAACCTTCTATCTATAACTAACTTACCTAATTATCATGGTATAGCTTCAAGGACAATGTACCACCTATATGTTGATCATCAATTCTTTCCTTAGATTTGTCTATTAACTAATATTGAAGAATTTAATAAATACTGAATAGTATCTTCAAGTGTAATAACCATACCAAAATTTTTTGCTAAAAATTTTTGGAGTCTACTATAGGTTAGGTAAAACTATTCTCACCACACAAAACAAAAATTTTGTAACACAAATAAGTTTCTTGAACACTAAAGATGAGAAGACAAAGGACTGAGTAACTTGGAAGATGTCCTAACTTTGCCACAAGGCATGCAAATGATGAATGACTTGCACCAACAGGCGAGGAAACCCCATCAAAGGGTAGAAGATGCCCAACAAAAATATGAGACATTGGGAATTAGGTGACAATCGATTTAGTGACTCTTAGATAAAATCAAATACCAACGTTACCAACCCTACGATAACAAGTGGGATCGTTTATATTTCAAACCAACTCCCCCCAATACCACAAAATGACAATTCCTCAAGGATGTGAATATGACCAAGCTTTGATGCCCCAAAAGAAATCAAATTGGTAAACAGAGGTGAATCGAAATGCATGGTGTGAATATCATAGAGCATGTGGTCAGGACATCTAAAAGTTGTTCTCCCTAACACAGACTATTAAGTAGATGATACAATAAGGAATCTTGGAAAGGTATAAGAAGATGAGATATGATGATTTTATGACGTTGAGGAGATTAAAGAAAAAAAAATCCTCGATTAGTCAAGTCAAGTGACTGATAGGGAAAAACAACACAACAATTTAAAATACCAAATTATGCAGGGGAAATAATTTTCTTAAACTTCCAAGAATATATGAGGAGCAACAACAATATATAATGACAGAAATAATCATAATAGAGAATACCAATATTTTTAGTGTAGGAAAACTTTCTCAATATGAGGAGTAAAAACCCACGAGCACATTTATAAGCTCCACTAACATCAAAAGTATGAGTATAAGAGAGTCAAGCCAAAAACACAAATAATTAAAAAACAGTCAATATATCAAAGCAACAGTGCTCTCAAATTTGAAGAACAAAGAAAAGAAACCTAAAAACCAATCATAGTGCGAAACTGATATCTCCAACCATAGTCCTTTCCTCCAATTGACGATCCCAGCAGTCAAAATGAAGACTCTTACACCACGAAACTGCTATTAAAATTTCAGCCCGATCCAACGGTGAACTAAGCGACAATCGTAATTTTACAGAGGCGATTGTTCCTTTTCTTTTTCTCTTCCCATGCGAAATGTTCCTCTCTGTTCTGACCAAACATACTCTTCTCCATTTAGGTTAAATGAGATAAAATGAGTTTGACTAATTTGGATTTTTTAGACACATAGTTGGGAGTCCAATCCAACAGTGACAAGCATTAAATCTCAATCTTATGAGATTTCAATACAATTGAGAGAGGTTTTAACTACCATATATCTTTAGCTATGCATTTTTTACCTTTTCATTCTTTATGTGACAAGGAGCAAAATTGATATAAAGTAACCACTTGTAAGAAGCGGTGCCTCTAGAAGCAGTGATGTTTAGCTTTAGCTTTATACAGGGATTGCATTTATAAACAAGATATGAAAAAAATTGTAATCAACATTCTTAGCTCTCAATAATATTGTGGTAACCCATTGTAGGGTTCCCTTTTCTGTACGTCCTTGTGTTGAAGTGAACACCTGTTGTCCTTCCCTTTTCCCCTTCTAGTTTTTCTCTTATCAATTGGTATCAGTTGGTCCTTCCTAAGAAATTCACATGGTAGACACTACCTATTCGGCTCAGGCAATTAAAGACATGGAAGAATGAATGTCTCAAAAGAGGGATGTTTGTTTTATAGAGTTAGCTGCTTCTTTGCAACAAACATTGCAAGAATGGATTATGTAGAAAATCGGCGAGATTAATACTAATTCTTTCAATGATAATATGTCTTGGGGTGCACATTCAAATTATGTGTGTGAAACTCGATTGGCACATATTGATTTTCCCATATTCAATGGCAAAAATGTGAATCAACGATACATCAGTGTGAAATCTACTTTTTCATAGATAACACTCCAAAAGAATTCAAGGTGAAGTTTGAAAGAATTAATGGTTGAGTTCAAGAGGGGGGGTGAATTGAACTTTAAAACTTTTTCGCAAAACTTACTTTCTTTTGGAAGAATGAGTTATCTTTATTCAATCTTTGCGAAGGTAATTTGGTTTAAACACAGCAAGTTTATAGACAGAAAATAAAAGAGATGAAAGAAGAATTTTAACACACAAATTTATATTGGTTCACTCTAATCCAGAGCTACATCCAGTTCTTGACAAACCAGTCAAGTTCCACTAATACCAAGTGAAAATTACAACCAGTAGATACTCACCAATCTACCCCAAGAACTATCTTGCAAACCCACAAAATAGAATCTTGAAAACCACCCAGTAACCAAATCCAGTTACTGTACCAAGTGCAGATCACAATCCAACTTGCACAATTACACTTTTACAAAAGAGTATGGAAAGAAAAAACCTGGACTTGAAGTTGTAATTGTCCAGAACAAATTCTAACAGCACTTTCTCTCTTTGATTGACCACAATTCTGATCACAGCACCTTATGATATGAAAAGATTCTTGAATGCAGAGAAAGTCACGTATATGAAAGTTTACAAGTTTTCTCAAGTAGTGTGTTGTATATTTTTCAAAAGATAGATCAATTCTGTATATATAGAGTAAAACAAAGAATCAGAACGTTTCATCTGTCAAAAACTGTTTCAGAGAGTCACAAGATCGATTAGTTTGAAGTATAACAGGTTAGAAGAGACTCCGATCGATTAGAAGCTGAAGTATGATCGATCAGATCGAAGTTATGATCGATCAGAATGAAACTATGATCGATCAGATTACATTTCAATCGATTGAAACCACGATTCAATTGATTGATTTCATTTAAAAGTTCATTCAATCGATTGTTTCGAGTTTTCAATGGATTGAAACAGACTTTAGAAAAAATGATAGCTCTCTGTTTTAATCGATTGAAAATCATTTCAACAGATTGAAATCCTGCAGTCTTTTAAACAGTAAAGATAACCTCTCTGTTTCAACAGATTGAAAAGTATTTCAACAGATTGAAAATGCGAAACCATGATATTTGAAAAAATTCACTAAGTTATTTTAACTTGTTGATTACGTGAATCAATCAATTGAAAATACGATTATGTATGACCACTTATTACTGTTAAGTGATTTTAACAGATTGAAAATCTTTTTCAACAGATTAAAAAAACTTAGTTTGTTCTTTTAATACTTGAATGTGAGTTTTTCATGCAGAAAATGATTTTCAATGAGATGCAATGTTTTAAGGTGCTTATCACAAAATATAATGGACTATCAAGAGATTAAGTGCTTAAACTTAAAACCTAATCATCTACACACCCACAACCTAAGCTATATCTATGTCTTCATCAAATCCACCAAGTGCTTCAATCTCCCCCTATTTGATGGAGACAAATAACCACTGCACCTGCATAAAAAATAACAGACCGAGAGACATATATTTTGTGGTGTGTGTGTAGTGATAGTTTTAAGCAAAATACTTCTCCCCTATTTGATCGCATCAAATAGATTGTTTTAGTTACTGAGTCAATGGGGCCACGTGGGTACCTCGAATATAAAACAGAACATTAAGAAAAGAAAACAGAATAATGAAACATAGAAAGTCTTCATTCGTCCCGGGGCCTTGATTGAATTGTAGTTCCACAATCCTGTTGTAAATGTCTTCTAGTTGATTATCAATATGCTTGGAACCTTGCAATGAAATTTTCATCCAAATAATGCTGCCGAGCCCTCGAGCGGCGAGTCATCCGCATATGCCTCCTTTGGTCCGAATGCGGTTCGCTCATTTGATGTAACATTGTTCTTTCGAACCGAGACAGAGGCGTGCCACGGTCAGGCGGTGGATTGTATGGAATCATTTCCAGTGGGGTCACTTCTTCCATTGGATCGGATGGACGTCTTTGCGAAGTTCCAGGAATATCGGTGTTGATTCCTTCCTCTTGCTCTTCTTCTTCACTTTCTTCACTTCTCCCGAGCATCTTCTTTCGAGATCCATTCACCATCAATTTTAATGAATCCCATTTTGTGAAGCACAGAATTATTTATTTCATTCGTTGGTCGGACGGT